CAATTACTCGTCCACCATTGTACCGACTGAGACGCTAGTTCGAGTCGAACCACCAACCTGGAGGACCAGGAGACTGAACTTCGTCTGACCCCTACCCAGTGACCTTCTAGGCATGATTACATCTGCGGCTTGACAAAAGCCATCATGTATAGCTCGTTGGGTCAGAGAGGTTCACAAGCCATCACACCACGTCAATGTGCAGTCTCGTCGTGCCTTCGCCTCAAAATGGGCCCGCATCACGACCAGACTGCATCTTGACTTGGTGTGATGGCTTGTGTGCCTCCATCACCCTGCAAGCTACACAGGATGGCTTTTCACAGTCGCTGATCCATTTATACCGGAAAGGTCAACGGGTAGGGGCCAGACAAAGCGCAGAACCATAAAGCCAGCTGATTAGACACCTCTTGGCTCTCTTCGACTATCTAGCCTCGCCCTACAAATGTTTCTACAGGAAATAAACACGGGGAGGGGTATATCACCGTTAAAAACCCGTTATATGGAAGTGGGACCGGGTTACAAAGGGCTTCCTCTCAACGGTGAGAGAAGACTTAGCTCTTCATCGGACAGCTACCGAGCATTTAAGATGGGAAACCCTCAAATAACAAGGTGGTGACCCGTCCACGTGCCACCTTTCTCATTTGGTGCATGAGACTAAGAGCCGATCGTGAATGACAAACAGTCAATTAACGCACCAGCAAATAATACACAGGATCGAAAACAAAAGGTCTAGAAGCTACCACACAAATGCTTCGGTCACGCCCCCGCGTTGGATCTACACTCCACTGCACTGTGGGGAAGAATTTTGAGTCGAAGGCTACGGTTGGCATTTCTCAAGAAAAATCTACGAATTCCCTGTCTGGTGAGACTGAGTCAAAAGATCCGGTCACGGTTCCCAAAGAAAAACTCCTTCGTCTATGTGAGCTACCGCGAAGCATGTCCTGCCCCGGAGTGTTGGGTAGCCATTTAGAAAACCTATTTATCATCTGTCTAGTTCTTGCTCTCATTCCGGAATCGCTCCAGATGTCTCCCGTTTACGCCAACCACGGGATATCTTTCAACGATCAACTAGAAAGATCATCGAATCATCGCTTATGTTTGTTGAAGCCAAAACCTTCTTTTATACTTATTCGCGTTTAATGTTTGTACACTCTACCAAATCGGTCAACAAGGTGCTCAGCTAGAACCCTTGAAACGTCCAATTTAGACTCATACTGTGTCTCGGAAACATAAATACAAGAGCCCCATTTAATCATTACCCAGCATTCTTTTGACCCAATCTCATACGCTTCACTGTTCGCGTGTCAGGCGATTCGGCATCCGACTCTCGCGGTTTTGTTGGTGTTGGGATTGCTCCGTGCCAAGGATCAGCGCTCGCTTCTATACTGGATTTTCATTCAGTAGTCAACTATGCGCTGTATATCTGCACGGTTTAGTACAGATCAAAAGCTACAGAACAAAGCGTCGCGGTCTATTCACTTGTCGTTATATGCAACAACCGATTGCAGAGCGTCCGATATCAAGGATAAGTTCCACTAACGTTTTTCTCAAATAATCTGAAGTGTTCGATCAATGGACGTCGTAGTAGGCGCCGAAGATTTCCATACTCAAGTGGGATCCCTGGATGAACCGAAAGGCTTCTTGGCGGTTTACATGTAGTCCTAGCCAATGCGCCACCACTGGTTCCAATGGGCAAACAATCTCCTGCCTGCTTGAGAAGCACTCCCGCAACGAACACAGTGTACATATTATTTGGACTGCTTTATTTCCACCATAGTACACAATCGGTTACAACAGTCTATCTGCATCAGAGTGCACCAAACCGGACACGTTTGTTATGCAATACCAGATGCCGATAACAATGAACACATTGCGCACGACCAGATGGCCCCGCGGACTGGAGCGTTATCATTCACCTGAACCAATGTTGTGTGTTTAGTCTGACGACAGTCTGGCAATTTTCAGCTCGTTTAGGGGAACTGGAATCCCACGCTCGTCATGTTTACACCGAATCCCGCCCCGCCCCGGATCAGGCCGCGAGAGAGCGAACAAGCTGGCTGCACAGCACAGCACAGAACCACACACAATGTCCTGTCTAAGGTTCACTCGACCGCGATGTCACGATTTCCGGCCAGCACGGCAAATGGTGTGGTGATTGGAACCACATTTTGGTGTGAACCAAATCCGTTCAGTGGTGACGAATTACTGACGTAGTTTCACGACTGTTTCTATGCATGTGAATAAATGTAGATATATATCTATAATTTACTGAATTATACATTACATATGGAAAGATTAAATTGTCTATTTATATAGAGGCGTTACCGAAACTCTTGTATCAACTATGTGCTGATGGTGACGGTGGCGGTTAGAGAAATCATTGGACTGAATGGAAATTTTGCCGTCATGCTGCCCGTGTAGTTGTGAGAGCTTGTCGTATCATCCGTGGAGGTTTATTTACGCTGCGATCTCCAGCGAAAATCGAAGAATACGTTCAAGTTCATCCAGACGAAACACACATGACTCTATGTGAAGTGAAGCAGTCTGTAGTATAAATCGTTGTGCAGGGAGACTGAGAACGTGTTCCTTACATTCAACATCCTTCGTTTCGAATAACTTCTAATTAAAATGACCCCATTACTGAATTGAGTAGTATGTACGTGGACAATGATTAGAGTTTAATAAAATCAATTTAATCTACCAATTTTTCCACTGAACCAGTACGCTATAGGTTGTGTGTGTGTGTGTGAATTTTTCTTTCTCATATGTGTGTACCGTTTTGTTAAAGGGAGATTTGGAAAAGGGTATAACCAAGGAAGTGGTTCGCGTTGGTTCCCGTTAACGGATACATCGGTTGTCTGTCATTTGTGTGTTTATGTGTGTTTGCGCGTGTAAAATCACCTCGGCGCAAAATCATCACGAGGAGGAATTGTATCACTTTCGTCGTTAGGAAAAACAGTTGCAAAAAAAAGACATTTTTGACAAAAGAATCCAAATCGGGGGTAGGCTTGATTAAGATGACTCACATTTAGCAATTCGGCCAGACGACTGGCTAGCTCGGCCACTGAACCGGGCCAACAGGGCAATCGTGGAGCCAGATTGACATAGTCCACAAGCATGGGTAGAAGTAGCAAAACTGTACCCACAACGACAAACCGTTCATTGCCGAAATTCAGCGCAGAACTAACTTCGTCCCTGGGACTGGTCTGTTGTTGTTGTTGTTGACGGGGGACCGGATTGGACTGACCAGAGGTTATACCGGGCAAATCGGAATCAGACTGGTCGTGCCGCGTGAACGTAAAGTGGAAGAACAAGTATGGATTAGATGAGTCTAATGTGTTGGAAAACCTCGCCCATGGTTTCGGGTGAATGAGAGATACAACGCGTTATGAACAGTGGAAGTTTATTCTAAGGCCATACACAAAAAGATTATTGTATCGTTCAGTTACCAAATCAACAAACAACCAAGTTCGTGGTGGATCGGACAGAGTAAAACAGCACTGCATGAGCACACAAGTCAAATACTCCAACCCCCACCACAATCATAATGCAACGAGGACACGATTCACATTCGCTGTGATTTGAAGAGTGAACGCGCGAGATGAGAATTATTTGAGCACTGAGGATCATCTAGCACTTAAGAAACTTAAATCATACAGGGTAACCAAAAGAGAGAGATAAACACAGGAGAAACGTTTCTCGGATGATGCGTGGTTGTTGTTCACAACCTCTCTCTCTCTTGCGCGCGCGCAAGAGAGAGAGGAAAAACAATTGTTCTCATGGATTCCTACAACGAGAGAGAGAGAGTATGCTTGCGTATGTGACGAACGACAGTACAGATGCTTTGGCCCGGTCGAAAGTTCATCTGGGTCCATGACGGAGGTGCAAAAATGTGAATTGTGTGCAACAACACTTCCACTTGTTCCTACAAAACTTGAAAAGTGGTTTGAACGTCTGTTCTGTTGTGTTGCACAGGAAAAAAACGATTACCAGTACGAGTGGGTTTAACTGCAAATACAAACAGTGCTCTTTCTCTCTGTCTCTTTGCACCGTTTGCTATCCATGTGAAATTTGTGTCTGATCGAACCCGGTCAAGTCAATTTCTCGCATTCATAAATGATCTAATCGCAAGTGAGGTAATTAAGAAATCCGATGGCACACTGATTCACGATCAGCAACGCCATCTTGACTGTTGGGCTGAACATTTCAACACTCAGTTCAACTGGCCCCCATTGACGTCTGAATCATCACCCTCCACCGCGACTGTGCAAATTCTACCAGTCGATGCCAATCATTCATCTGAAATGGAAGTTTCCCGGGAAATAAGTTATCTCAAAAGGCACAGGGCCTCCGGCCCAGACAGGCTCTCCCCATCTGGTTTTAAGGATGGAGGTCTAGCATTCGTTTTGGAGTTAACAAAACTCCTGGGCTCAGTGTGGGAAAAGAAACAGGTTCCAACTGAGCCCAGGAGTTTTGTTAA